GCTCACCAGTACACTAAACAACGTTCTGCCTATTACGTCTCTGCAGGGCGAGAAATTCTTAATCTTTCGATTTATATGTGCCCGGCCTGTGTCCGCAAGCTCTCAAAGTTATTATATCGCACGTTTAAAAATATAGAGATGTAACTCAAAATCTACGTTTTTGGAGATTTCAATATGCAATTAATATGCCTGATAAGTAGAATATGTTCAGTCTAACAGATAACCAAACTTCCCAAATATGGCGAAGATATGTGTCTTTCCATCTGTCTTTTTGTATACCAATTATATGAAATGATACAACTTTGATTGCGTTTTCACACAAAATTTAAATTTTTATATATACTTACATATGTACTATATGTATAAAAAATCAAATATTTTAATATACACTCGTGGCCACGCAAAACTTACCACAACTTAAAAGATGAGGCAGAATTTTGTAAATAAAAAAAGTCTCAGTGCGTATAGTCCCTACGCGCGGAAGAAGTGAAACTTAGTAGAGGAAATGCCAGATTTGAATCTTTATCATTCATCTTCTTCTTCGTCTTCATCTCCATCTTTAACCTCCTCTTTGTCTTCATCTTTATCACCATCTTCATCTTCATCTTCATCATCTTCATCTTCGTCTTCATCTTCATCTTCATTTCCATCTATATTGAAAACCATTTCTTCTGATACCCATATTGGGATACTTTATTTTAATAACTATTAACCAATTTAAATTTGTTTTTCGTATATATGACAACCCTTTAAAAAACTAAAATCATATTACACATATACAGGTCAAACTCTTTCATTTGACACCTCATCTTTTAAAATCGAACGAACGATACAGATTTTATGACTTGGTGTTAAATATTTAACGCAACCATATCCGAACCCGTGTAAGAAGTTTCACTTCAATAAAACAAATTATTATTTTTGTATTGTAGCATAAACTATATAAATAAAAGTTTTAAACTTTGTAGAAAATTTAGAAAACTGCAAAAAATTTTCTTTAAAATTCCAAAAATCTGCCAAGTTGTTCACGCAATTTTCAACTTGCACTTTATTATACTAAAATTAAATGGGCTATTAAACTGTATTTCCCAAAAATTTGTACTAAAAAGTTTGAAATTTTCTTTTTAAAATCAAAAATTTGTTGGTTAGGGCCTTTGTGAGTTAAGGTAACGATATACTCCCATAGTACAAATTATACATATTTCGTTCTAGTGAGATACTGGTAATCGATACAGCTATGAAACTTTTAAACAACATAGAAGAAGAGAAAGAAGTAGCGGTAATTTCTGCATACTCAACTCAAACTTTGTATTTTTTAACCGACTTCCAAAAAAGGAGGAGGTTATCAGTTCGTCGGAATATGTTTTTTATTTTTTTTTTATGTATGTTACCGCATAACTTTGGACCACGTCAACCGATTTCGATAATTCTTTTTGCATTGGAAAGGTAGTGTCTCAGACCATAATAGTCTGGTTGAGATCCGATCAGTGGATCATAAGATATATATATATATTTTTTTATATGAGAGTTGAAGTCGGTTTTTTTTTTGTTAAAAATTACTTGTTATTATTACCTTCCTTTTATTAGCTCGGGATGTAACTATAGTTGCGATCCCGTATGAGTCCGGACTAGTCAGAAATGCTCAGAATCAGTCAGATTTTACTGGAAACCGATCCTGTACTCGGTTCTCTGACTATTGAGAGGACAAAAAAGAGAGTAAATACGGTCTCTCTCTGTCAGAAGTTACCAGTTTTAGTCCGAGAATTTCTTGCTGGTAAATTCTGGTAAATGTGTCAAACGATCAGCTGTAGTATGTTTGGCAACCAAATTGTAAACAAAAGAAAAGTGCACTCTGCTAATTCATGTTGAAAAGTATTTATTACTTGTTTAAGTGGATTCTAATGAATTTGAAAGTATTTTTGGTTATTTAAATGTGTGAGCTGAGTGTGTTTACATACAAGAAATATGTATATAGTTTTTGTCGCAGTGAACTGTGCACGTATAAAAAAAATTTATTAATTTACAAAATTCTAACTAATTTTTTTAAGTCGTGGTAAGGTTTGCGTGGCCTCAAGTGTAAATAAATAGAAGTATTACATATCGACGGCTGAGTGGAAGATCGACCCATCTCGGCGATCGTTTCGAAAACGCCTTATCTCAAAAAATGGCTCAAGAACGCCCTTCTTCAGAATTTGATTGAAAAACGCCCTATCTCAGAATTTGGTTCAAAAACGCCCTATCCCAACTGAAAATATGCTGAAATAAGGCGTTCTTTAAACGTTTTGTAAGATAGGGCATTTTCGGACTGGCTGCCGAGATAGGTCGATCTTTCGCTCAGCCGTCGATATACATATTATATTTAAAACGTATCTTTAGCCCGCGCAATCGAATCAAAGTGTATGAATCTTGAAAATGAAACTTTGGCTTGTAATATCTATGGAATGCGTTAATTGTTATAAACATGACGATATATCAAATCAAGGGCTATTAAATTTAGTACCTCACGTTCATTTGTCGTTTATCAATAAGTCTACACGTTTTTAAGATATTAAGATAAAACTTACAAAAACAATAATTTTCCCTCATGAATTTTTAATTCTGTAGGTAAATGCAAAAGTATTTAACATATGTTGATCAGGTAACTAATTTCATCGGTCTAGGCGTAACCATGGACTCTAAGCTTGAATTCAAGTCCCATGTAAACTCTTGTGTTAATAGAGCCAAGGGCGTCTTGGCTTTTATCAAACGTTGGGCTAAAAAATTCAGAGATCCTTATGTCACTAAAGCTCTCTTCACCTCCCTAGTCAGGCCGATCTTAGAATACGGGCCCGTCGTATGGAACCCTAGAAATCCTAACGCACTCTGACAGACTCGAGTCGGTACAGAAACAATTCTTATTATTCGCATTAAATAATCTGCCTTGGGATTCGACATTAAATCTCCCACCGTACAAAAGCCGCTTGAAGCTCATAAATTTGCCAACGGTGCACAGCCGTAGAGAGATGCTCGGGGTTTTGTTCATGATTAAGATCTTGAACGGGATGGTCACTAGGCCCCTTCTACTGAACCAGATCACGTTTTGTATTCCTTCTAGGCCTTCTAGACATTACAAGCCCATTAAGCTAACTATTTGTAGAACAAATTTTGAAATGCATGATGCTTTTCGTTGCCTATGCCAGGACTTCAATAAGCATTACGACTATTTTGACACCTCCGACTCACATTTTACCATTAAGAAAACCTTACTTGAGATTTTCAATAAATAACATGTAAACCCTTACATAACACCTTATCGTTCAGCTGGTTAACTGTATTTCTGTTCAGTTTATGAGGTAAACGTAAACGTGAATCGCTTTTTTGTAACAAAATAAATTAATATCTTTAACCGGGAACGATAAATTACACAATATCTATGACTGCTTAGTACAACTGTAATCGGCTTCGTATATTTTCGCGATCGCGTAAGACAATACGAAACTCGGCCTTTCCGACCATGATCAACAGCTTGTTCATAGCGCGGAGCGGAAACTAGGTCTTTCCGCCTGCCACACATACAAAGTAATGTCTTCGAGAACATGGATCGGNTCGCGTAAGACAATACGAAACTCGGCCTTTCCGACCATGATCAACAGCTTGTTCATAGCGCGGAGCGGAAACTAGGTCTTTCCGCCTGCCACACATACAAAGTAATGTCTTCGAGAACATGGATCGGAAACCCGGCCTTACCGACCTTGATCAACAGCCTGTCCGCAGCGCGGAGCGGAAACTAGGTCTTTCCGCCCGCCGTACACAAAAGTAGACTGAAGACTAGGCCTCGCCAGCTACCAAACCTGCTATTTTATGCTGTTATTATTATTATTATTATTATTATTATTATTATTATTATAAATTACTATGTATCTAAATGTTCTATTCTCATTTGTCTGTAAGAAAACATTTTTCTGTAGACCAAATAAATAAATATCCTGGGAAATCCGTTTGAGGACTCTCCGATCGGACGATATTGCTTTGCAATCAGCTTGAACGAAAAAAGTCACTCCCTGGCACACTTTTTTTTGTAATCCGGTTCTTTCCTTTAAAGGTTATTTATACAATTGAAGAGAAATATTTTTGATCAAAAAACTGGAGATCCACTTAAGTTTTTCGATATAACTTTGGTAAATGTTACTCGATTGGTACGGAATAATTACCAAATTGAAGGCGAGACTTACTGTTACTGATTTATGATAGTTTAATGATGAAAATCGTTCAGATTATAAACAAATTATTTTAAAATAAAAAAAATGTTGAACAAAATTTTTTGTAATTTTACTATATTTGCAATTTTTATATTGTAAGCATAAACATAAGTACACTAATTATTGTTTCTAGAAGTTGTACCTGTTCAGTGTTTCCATACTCATTTTCATAAATAAAATTTTTCCACGATGATGGAAAATAATGACTTTTCTATTAGAGCTACCCAAATTGTTCCTAAATTTGCAAAAATTCGCAAACTATAGCTAATTTTAAAAAAAAGATTGGAATATTTAGAACCAGCGACATAAATGTACGCCATCTTTTGACTATATTCCAGTGCAATTATCAAGAGAACAATTAAAATTTTATTGAAAAAAGATAACTTTGAGATTAACGATAAGCTAAAGGGCTGCGAGAAATTATATTTGAGTTTATCTTTTGCGTTAACGGATTCATTATCTAATCATATGCACCAAACATTTTTGCTGAACTCAGAATTTTTAAGAAGAATTTTTCTTATTCGACTAGTGTGCTGTGGGTCACTCCGCGGTCGATGCTCGGGCTCTCACAATTAAAATAAAAGACTAATATTTTGCAATATACTTTCACTATTGCCAAGGGATTTGAGATAAGTTAGATTTTCGACCCGCCCTAATACATACGTATATACATACAATCGCACATGTACTATATAAAACAGCATAATTTTATTGAAAAGGTCAAATGAAAAATTATTGTATTATATTTGTGTATTTCAATAGCAACGAGCACAACCTAGGACATCTAGAACAGCCGATGAGGCAAAGTGCTAACCATCAATACAATCAAGGGCCGCCAATAAAGCCAGGTAACAATCAAAATGATCAAAACCCGCCAATAAGGCCAGGTAATATTCAAGATTATCAAAGACCACCAATAAGGCGTGGTAACAATCAAGATTTCCAAAGACTATCAATAAGGCAACATAACAATCCACGTAATCAAATAAGGCAAAGTGGAAAGAACCAGCAGAATGAACAGCTGCCTAGAAGGAGATATGGTAACTACCAACATCATCAAAGACAACAAAGAAGGGAAACCAAGCGAGAAAATGCGTCTGGTGGAAAGAGTTTTGATTTAAAATACTTAACTGAACTAGGCACAAAGAATAGCGATGAAATAATAACTGCGTTGGCAAAAAGGAAGGATGATTTTGATAAATTTTTAAATGACGATATTCGCCCAGATATGTTTGTGCTAACAATTCAAGTTTTAACCAATCTTTGTCAAGCGAGTTTTGTTGAAATGGTTACAAGTGTTCTAAGCAATGCTTGTTCTGCAAAATTCTTAAAAACTTTGCAGGATTTTTTGGTTAAATTACTCATTGAGACGGATATGGACAAACATCGAAACAAACTGTATCATGAAGATAAAAACAAGTTTTGGTCTAATTTGAGTAAATTTTTCAAAAAAGTTATTGAACTTCTTCCTAATAAAGCTCGTGATGAACTGGCGCCTATCTTAGAAAGAGTAACTAAAATGTTTACAATCATTGAAGAGAACCAAAATTTTCGAATTGACGAAAAAGTCAAGAATGATCTCCTAAATATGGCCAAAGACTTTCAAGAAGAAATTCAAAGAATTGAAAAAAAGAATAAAGATCGTGAAACAAGTCCAGGTATAGCTGAACCTGAAATAGAACAAGAACCACCTGAAAACTTTAAATCACTGAGTGTCATACCAACAATGCAAGATTTGCTCGACCAAAAACCTTACATTAGGAAGTGCAAAGTCAAAGATGCGTACACATCAGTTGAACATTACTTGGACGTGCAGTTCCGTTTGTTGAGGGAGGACTTTATATCACCATTGCGAAATGGAATAAATGAATATTTGTATTCAGATAAGAAGCATAGAAATCAAGAAGTTCGAGTTTATCTAAAAGTCACTTTAGAACGTCCCGATATTTCCGAAAATATTGTTGGTATTATATTAAAATTTGGAGTGATAAAAAGTATAAATTGGCGGCGTTCCAAGCGTTTTATGTATGGAGGATTACTGCTTCTCAGTAGTGACAATTTCAAAACTGTTCTGTTCGTTACTGTTGCAAATAGAGATGAAAAACAGCTTGAAAAGGGATATATTTTAATAGAACCTTGTGAAGGAACCTCAATCACCCGAGAAATGTATAAAATGACTTTTGTTATGCTGGAGTCAAAGATATACTTTGAGCCTTACTTGGCAGTGTTAACTGCTATGCAGCATATGAACGAGGAAAATTTTCCAATGGAATCTTATTTAGTACGTGGAGACACTACCCAACGACCGCCAAGATACCTTGCAGCTGCTGGTGAGAGAAGAATTTTAAGGTACAAAAATTGGGATTTACCAGTTGCCTATAACGAGCCTTGGCCGACCGCCAATGAAATGGGTCTCGACGAATCACAATTCAGAGCTTTCAGATGCGCTTTGACTCAAGATTTTGCAGTGATACAAGGACCGCCCGGCACAGGAAAAACATTTATCGCGCTGGAGATCGTTCGCACTTTGTTGACCAATAAGGCTTATTGGAAACACTACGGACCGATTGTCGTCGTTTGCCTAACGAATCATGCTTTGGATCAATTCTTAGAGGGCATCCTCAAAGCCACCAAGTCCATAGTTCGCATCGGCAGTCGATCAAAGAGTGAAGCCATGAAACCATACACATTGATGGAAAGAAGAAAGACTGTCAAACCTCCAAGACAACACGACGCAATGGCAGTTATGTACGAAACGAAACGCGAGCTGGAAACTGTTTTGAGCTTGATGAAAAAAGCGCGTACTTGCATTCATCTTTTACTCACGGAAAATGGTATAGTACCGTTGGCTTGTCTCGAAATGTATTGCGACGATGAAATACTACAAAGCTTTGCCTCCGATGAAGAATTGGTAAAGTGGCTTATAGGTAGCGAGATAACGTTGACTCTGCTCCCTGAAAAGCCTGCAATGTTACAAGAGCAGCCAGAAGACGACCAGGGAATGGATCCTATTTTCCCTGTGAAAAGTTTAAATGTCATAATCGCAACGGTTCAGCAAGATATATATGAATGCTTGTCTAGACGCCAATATCTTGATCATACTATACAGTTAAGAGAATATCTTGGAGTATTATTGGCTCAGAAGGTGTCCTTGGAAGTAAGCATAATCTGTTTCAGCCTCTATTTATATCTGTAATATATGTACATATGTATATACATACGTTGTAATGTAAATATTAAAGAATTAATAAATATTACGAATTTTCAGCGTAAATTAGCTCAGCACCCATTGCTGCATGAACAGCGCCATCCTGCTAGTAATAGGCGTTGGAGAATGTACTGGCGCTGGGTGAGGACTAGTCACTTTAAAGCAATGAATGAATTAACTCAACTCGAGCGAAGGTATCAAAGACTAAATTCCAAGTTGAACGAAGCCAAGCAAATTGTGGACTTGGTTGTACTCAGAAAGCATGATATAGTGGGACTAACAACAACTGGCGCGGCGAAGTTGCATGCATCCTTGCGTGCCCTTAAAGCTCCAATAGGTCAATCATTTAATTTACTACTCTCACATGTTTATTGAAATCAAAGTAAATTTAAAATAACATATATTTTCTAATGTTTTAGTATTGGTAGAAGAAGCCGCCGAAATTCTCGAAGCCCACGTTGTCTGCTCTATGACCAGTAACTGCCAGCATGCTATTCTTATAGGAGACCACAAGCAGCTGAGACCAAAGGCGTCGGTGTATAAGTTGGGCAAAGATTTCAATTTGAATATCTCGCTGTTCGAGAGAATGGTCAACTTGAGAGGCGATTGCGCTCAACTCGCGCATCAGCATCGAATGCGACCTCAATTTGCCAAATTATTAACGCCGTCGATTTACGAAACCTTGTACAATCATAGCTCGGTCAATGAACGGCAGAATATCAAGGGAATGATGAAGAATCTCTTCTTCCTACACCACGAAAATCACGAAAGTAGTCAAAACAACGAAGAGAGCTATGCAAATAAGCATGAATCGGAGTTTTTAGTAGTGTTTGCAAGACATCTAATTCTGCAAGGTTACGATCCTTCAGAAATCACTATCCTTTGTACCTACACTGGTCAACTTTTTTCTCTTATGAAGGTATGAGGAAATATTTCTTCTCTATTTCTTACTATCAAAAGAAATTACCTAAAACTTAAATTTTTTTTGACTGAATTCTTTAACTTGTTAGTATAAAATTTGTACACACAGAGCGACCACTTTTATTATACCCGAGCGCACTTGTGCACAAGGGTATATTAATTTTATTCACATAACGGTTGTTTGTAACAGCCAAAACGAATCGAGATAGATATAGACAAATGTATACATAAATGATCAGGATGAAAAAAGAAATCGATTAAGCCATGTCTGTCTGTCCGTCCGTC